TTTCACTCACACGGAAAGTTTTATTTAAAAAAATATATATTCTCCTACTTTTCTGCAATGTAAATTTTCAACTATCTATATTCTTATTTTTTTCTAAAAAAAATCACGTTAACTTATATTTTTTGAAACTATTTTGTTTTCTCCTATATAAATAATCTACTTTCTTCTATAATAAGACAAGTTCATTTTTTTGTGAAGAATTACTTTCACTCATGTGCATCCATAGGTAAATATTATTATTACCTTTTCTACGTTTATTAATATGAATCTTTCCAGGAGTTTTTTGTCAAGTATATATTAAAAGATTCTTTTATATATTTGCTATAAATTAATTTAACAATAAAAAAAAGACAAACATTGATAACTATCCACGTTTTTATCACACAAACTAAGGTGATGATTGTTTGTAGTTTTTGAATTAGTTTTTGGTTTTTGTTTTTCCAAAAACTAGTTTTTACCCAATCAAGATTTTGGTTTTTGTTTTAGTTTCTGTAAAAACCAATATTTTGCCAATCAAGTTTTATTAATAAATAGATTCCCTAAATTTTAGGAAAACTGGTTTTTGAAAATTTTAATCAATTTATGAAGACAAACCAAAAACTCATTTTTGTTGGTTTTTAGGAATAAAAACGATTTTTTTTTATTTTCATTAGAAAGTGGTACATTTTAACTAGCTAATAATTAAATAATAATACTTTATAAAGATAAAATTCTAATAAACTTTTGGTACAAAATATAACATTTAAGCAATAATGTTTAATCATTTATTTATGTTGCATGTCAAAATAAATTTATATACTTATATATAATATTAAATAATTTAAATTGGTTATTCATTTCTATACATAAAATTATTTAATAATTTAATAATAATTAGACTTATTAAACAATAACTTAAATTATAAAAACATAAAATTTCATTAATAAAATATATTATATTAATTTGAAAAAGAAAAAAATCCATTCAAATTTTATAATTTAAATTACATACAATTTGTTTTATAAATAATTTTCATATTTTAAAATTTTAAATATTCTAAAGTTTATAGTTATTTTATGATTTATAATTTTGTATAATATAAGTTTCTTAAAATATACAATAATTAAAACATGTTAATGTATTTTGTATTATTAAATAATAATCATTTTATTTTAATAGTAGCTTTTAAATGTTTTATTTCTATATTTGTTGTATTATTTTAAAAATAATGTATTACTTATTTTTAAGAAATTTAAAAACTACAGCAAAACCAAAAACCTAAATCAAAATCTAAAAACTAAAACCAAAAGCTGAAAAACCAAAAATAAAAAGCCAAAATCAAAAAGAAAAACAAAAATCTAAAACCAAAATCTAAAAACTAAAAACTAAAACTAAAAACTAGTGCAAACAATCATCACCTAAGTTTCTAATTATTCTCAACTTACAACCATCACACGATCAACCATGACGTTAGTTTACATATTGTTTTATTTCTCTTTTTCACCATCGTTTCATCTTTTTTTTTACCAACGTTTCATCTCTCTCTCTCTCTCTCTTTTCACCATCTTCAATTCTTAGAACATCTCCAACCCCACTCCATAATTTACTGCAAAATAGAGTGGGGAATGGAGTAATGAACAAACAAAAAAGTGATTACTCTAGTAATCACTTTTTTGTTTGTTCATTACTCCATTCCCCACTCTATTTTGCAGTAAATTATGGAGTGGGGTTGGAGATGCTCTAAAACGCTATGCTGCATGTTTATGTTTTGTTTTCTATCAATTTTCTTAAAATAATTCTTCTCTTCTTCTCTAACATATAATCCTTTCTCTCTTTCTGCATAACTTAGGTTCAAGATACCATTGGAGTATATTCTTATTTCTCAGCTCAATTCATCTACAAAGAATGGAAAATCATAGTGCGGTCTCTCTGATTTGTGACTTCTATCCCAAAATTAACTTGAAGTTGTTCTCAGGATGAAAGTTATCCTTGTGGATGAAAAGGTACACTCACTTTAAGTTTTAAAAATTGGTACACATTTATAACTACTCTTTTTGGCATGATTCACGTTGAAGTATGTCAATTGAATTTCCTCAGCTTAGTGCTTCAAAAAACAAATGGAAATCAAAGCATTGTCAACAACGGTTGAGTATAATAAGTTTCTACAATTCTGTTATATAAATGATTTTTAAGGTAAATTACTACTTTCTCTTTCTTTCTTAGGTAATAATAAGTGATCGCTTAATTACAAATCATTTTTTTAGTATCTTATTCTTAGGAAGACAAAATAGAAAACGAATGTGAGCATTATAATATTTTTCTTTCAGTTTGCTATGAAAAACTTTCAATGTTCTTGAGTTTAATCTTCTTCACGAATAAGTTTGGCTATTATGTTTGTAAAAGAGCAAAAGAAAGACTATATAATCTTCTTACCAGTAAGGAACGTGAAAATGACATTGGTAACTAGATTAATGTCAATTGTTAATTAAATTATTTTAGTTAATCATAATAATTGTTATGCAAATTATCACTCTTCCGTTTTATATGTTGACTTTGTCATTCTACATGTTAGTACTGTTATCGATTTTACATTTTTTTGAAAAAAAAACTGTTAATCGATTTACATTCATGCATTTTATATTATATAGTGATAAGATACATGTGATTTTCTTAAATATATATTTTTGTTATTAGATTAATATACACTAAAAATCTCTATAAATAATATAATTTTATAGTCCTAAATTGAGTTTTTGGTTTAATTAGTATATCGATAAATTAATAATCGCTAAAAAATAATGAAAAATTATAATTTTGGTGTAGTCTCAACATTATTAATTTATAGAGGTTTCACTGTATGTGCACCTACGGCATTTTCAACAAATCACCGTGCATCATGTTATATTGTTCATTAATTTGTTCTGCCATATTTATTTATTTCCTTAATATTTAAATATGTACACTAAGAAATTAGGTTTTTTTAGCTTAAATTAACACTCAAAAACTCATATTACAGATTGATTTGGCCCCATTAGATTTGACACTTGTCAGCTTAGACATAGCTGTGTCGAATGCAACAAATATCGTTGTATCTTCACCCCATTCCACCAACATCTCAACACGGTACCTAAAAATCATTTAGGTTTCAATAACAGACAATGACTAAGTACTAATAATAGATGTTTATACGTAGTTGAGGATGATAAAAAACTATAAGCAAACGATAACCTGACAGCTCCAACAGCATTGGCATTAAAACATGTTGTGCAAGTAAAGGAGGATATTCATAAGAGACCTTGAGGTGCAAATTGGTAATACTCTTATTCTTGTAGATTTTCATATCTTGGACATCAAGTTAAACTGAAATTCTTCTCTGCTTCTTGGAAGACCATTCATGGCCAAAGTAGGAGCAGTTTGTGAAATGAATACCAATAGCTTCAGCCTTACATTAGTAGACTGGAACATCTTTTATGATCATGTTCATGTTGTTAAGCAACATCTACACTTTCTGGAGACTGGAGATGCTGGATTCATTGTCGTATGCCATTGTGGAGCTGAGTATGAAACCGATTATTCAGAATCGATCGACACACACACACACACTATTTCATGATCGATTCCATCAATCAGCCGACGACCATTCGTTTGTAGTCTCCAACGACCCAATTCTGACTTTGCATAGGAATTCGATGGACTGCGATGAAATGGGAAATCAGATATAATCCACATTAGTAGTAAGTAATTAGCTCAAATAATTGTTCATCAGAAAGCTTACTTGAGGAGGTGACCCAAGGATGTAGTTGTTCAACTCCCAAGTGAAACTGGTTCAACCTTCTTAACACCACGATATTGCTTCCCACTTGTTGAGTCGTTATCGGATTTGGAAGACAACCTATAAATTTTTTACTATCAGATAGGGCTGGGCAAAAATAACTCCGAAAATCCGAACCGAATCCGACCCGATAAAAAGGAACCCGAACCGATCTGAACCCGACATAAGTACCGAATGGATCTTGTTTTACGGTATTTCGGGTTATGGGTATTACCCGAACCGAACCCGAACTTAAATGGATATCCGAAAGAACCCGAAACTTTAAAATTCCAAAAAAACGTGTATCATATCTAATCTAAATTTCTAATATGTTTCCAAAACAGATTAATATATTATTGAGTACCTACAATAATTAGTTATGATATAAATAATTAGCTCAAATATTTAGTCTAATATATAGTGTTATTTGGTTAATATTAATGTTTATGATTGACATTACATTTGAAGTTAAGTTACAAATAAATTTGTTTTGAAGTTTATATAATGTTTTTTTTTAAAGTTTAAATAGTATTTCTTATGTTTATAGAACTGTTAGTTGTTAACTTTAATTTTTTATGTTTCATTATGTATTATATTTCGTTCATACAAGGCTTTGGTTTTTCATTAATCATGATATGTTTAATGTTGTCACATATAGTTCAATGACAAATCTTATATGGTTGATAGATGAGTTTCACAATATTATTTTGAAGGAGAACAATATGGTTTGTAGAAGCTAAATACACAAATTTTAATAAAATGATTGAAAATATAGTGAGTTTAATTGAGTATAAATTAGTATTTTTAGAACCGATAACCCTATTAGTATCTGAAACCAAAACTATTTCGGGTTCAACCGGATCTTGGACATGTTACTAAACCCGAACCGAACCCGACTAAACCCGAACCGAATCCGACCCAAATTTTTATAATATCCGAATGGGGCTGAAATTCATGAACCCGAAAACCCGAAACCCGAATGAACCCGAACCGAAACCCGATTGGGACCCCGATTGCCTATCAGAGTTTGGTAAACCCATGTGTAAAGATTATTTTTTAGATAGTGACAGCTCAGATACATACTGCTCAAATCTAGCATGGCTTGCTGCCACCTCATTTTCAAAATAAAAATGAATCCCAGAGGTAGCATTGACCTGCATACCATAATTAACACATGGAAGCATGAAATATCCTATATAAAATAGGAAACTACTCACCTCCTAGAAACTTAGGATTGATGCTCATAGCCACCATCACTTTAGGTTGGACAACACAAGCCTCCAGCCTCTTGTGGAGTGGCTCAGCTACACTGTCAAAAACACTGATGCACACAATTGCGTCACTGCAAAGGAAATAAGATGTTTAGAATCAACTCCTCTTAAAAATGTATATACAAATCGAATTTGATGAATATGAGCAGAGAAAATACTTATCTATCTGATGGTAACCATCACCCGCTGAGTTGTCTGAGCATGATCATTATATGTAGTTCTGATATCAGAAACCTCACCAATGATGTCTGTAACAAAGAGGATAATAGGGTATAAGATGCAAGAATACATACATAAACTTCAAGCGGACAAAGTAAAAATGAAGACATACCTGGCAGATGAACGTTAGTGTTAGCTAATGCCATGAGTTCCTCAAGAGATCGGAACCTGAACAGCTCTGTAGGAATTGGAGCAACTGCGGGTACTTCAACCATCTTTTTAAACTCGTTCAGCCAGATAGACACAACATAATCACAAAGCTTGAAATGATTGTTGCTTCTAGTAACATCAAATCCACTAAGCTCATACGTAGCTCCTCCACGAAGAAGCTCTCGGAAGGTGTTCAGACGATGGACAAAAACATATTGCTTGGATAAGATACGACTGCAAAGTAAGGACATTTGCAGTCATAACCTAGATTCAAAAGACAAAACAAAAAGGATCTTAAAAAAACAAAACAAAACAGACATGATCATCCAAGAGAAGCTTATTGACAACCATTAGTTAATTTCCCTTCTTAGCATTCCTAGCTTCCCAAAATTGGAGAAGGCGTGTCACAACGATCCGAGCACAACATCCTGGCCTCAACTCGGAAAGAGAGATCTGGGGAGCAGCCATTGTTATCGCCGTTATTTGTTTGGTTTTTGAAAAGAAAATTCAATGAAAATGTGATAACAAAGCAGTCATGGACGCCTATTTATAGGATCCATATCCTGAGAAACCCAAAATATCGAAGATTCTAGTGAAATGAGAAGTAGTGGAGGAAGAATTTAGTGAGATTAAATGCAAAGTTTATGGCTCGAGCATAAATCCATAATCCATTACTGGATCTGGTGTTGTGTTACGAAGAGGAAGGAGACATTAGGGTTTACGCTTCTGCGGCGTAGAAGAAGGAGAAGCTTGGAGTGTGCCAAAATAAAATAAAGCCCAACAAAAATCACTTAACAAATGCCTCAACCGATCTGCAAAGACATCTATATATAGCGTAGTAAATTGCTGACATGGCCGCCTCTCCTTGCCTCTGCAATACTGATGACGTGGCAACATCAATGAAGAGATCTTTCTACTTCTTATATATTAAAAAAGAAGTCATAACATTAATTTATGTGTAATATTTTTAAAAATGGACCCTCATTAGAAATCAGTTATCATTCATTTATTCTTAACTAGGACAGGTCCGTGCTACGCGCGGAATTTGAATTATGAGTCATATCCATTTAAATAGAATTGTAAAAATATTGTTTTTAGGTATTGTTTAGTTTTATGTTATATTGATTGTTTACTGTATGAGATTTTTGAAAGAGATAGTGATTTCAAGTCGTTAGATACGTAAACTCATACGTATGTTGACTGTATTTTATAGGGCTGTTATAGACAATAAACATTAGACTATTTCGTATGTTATGTAGTTTGTTTGGGCTTTGAAAAACCTGTGTAACATTTTTAAGTAGTCGAATATATTGTTGGATCAAATTTTACTGGTTTTGTTATGTTTGTCACGGTTTAGTAATAGTTTATTGACCAAGCAATCAGTGAGTTTTATATAATTTTAGTGCAGTGAAATCTTGTCTAATAGTGTATTTATACGGATATTCTTACAAAATTTGCATATGTTTCTATTTGTTTATATAATTTGCATTTTTTTATCCATGCTATTTAAGAACACAAAGTTAAAGAGATTCATAGTAAAGTCTTACACAAATTTTGATCGTGAAAAAGTGTAACAAAATGCTAGAGTCATCGATAAAAACTTACAATGATCAGTTTTTTTTTTATCAAGCCTATACACAAATATTTTTAGTTTTTTTTTCATATATATAAAAAAACTCACTATAGTTCAATCTATCTTACTTGGTCCCAAACATGTTTATAGTTTATTGACATCTTTCATGTTCCTCAGTATGCAAGTTTGATATAAAAAAGGGAAGTTAACTCAACTAGTATGAATTTTATTAATTATTATCACAACCATACAAAACTTTTTTTTATTACTACCTTTTTTTTAATACCCAGCGTGCCCTTTTTTCACGTTGTGAGAAAAAACATATTTACAAGAATGCCATTACTTTTTTATGCCACGTAAGCAAAAATTTCGGGTCCACGTAAGAATGCGGC